CGCCTGCACGTGCGGGTTCGACAGCGCCCGCCGGAGCTCCCGCTGCGCCTCCTCGCCGCCCAGGTACGGCATGGCTCCGCGCCGCTCCCGCGCCTAAGCGCCGGTCCCGGTGCTAGTCCCAGTCCCAGATCCCGGTGCTTGTCGCAGTCTTAAGCGCCGGTCCCGGTCCTGATCCCAATCCCAGCCCTCGGCCCCAGGATGCAGACCCCGGCCCAATTCCCAGTCCCAGATCCAGATCTCAATCCTTGTGGCCCGCCCAGGCCCCGATCCCTATCCCTATCCCGTTCCCAGGTCCCGTTCCCTATCCCGATCCCGATCCCTATCCCGTTCCCTATCCCGTTCCCAGGTCCCGTTCCCGTTCCCGTTCCCGGTCCCGCTCCCCTCGCTGGTCCCACCGCCCCGCCCACGTGACCCGCGCTCACGTGACGCCGCCCCGCCCCTGGCGCGCGGCCGGGCCCCGCCCCGCGCCCCCCGCGCGTGCGCGGCGCTTCCCGCCAAAACCGGCGTGAGGGGCGCGGGGTCCCCGCCCGCCATGAACGGGACGGTGCTGCCCGGGACCCCCATCGCCGTGGACTTCTGGAGCCTGCGGAAGGCGGCCGGTGCCCGCCTCTTCTTCCTGTCCCACATGCACTCGGACCACACGGTGGGGCTGTCCAGCACCTGGAACCGCCCGCTGTACTGCTCCCCGCTCACCGCCCGCCTCCTGCACCACCGCCTGCAGGTAAGTGTGTCCCGCCCGGCCCTCACCTGCCACACCCTGCCCTCATCGCTTGGACACCCCCGCCCCACCTGCCTCTCCCAACTCTCATCCCTTGCCCAGCCCTCACAGCTCGGCCCCTGCAGGTGCCGATGTGYTGGATCCGGCCGCTGGAGGTGGGGCAGAGCCATGTGCTGGATGAGGTGACAGTGACGCTGATTGACTCCAACCACTGCCCTGGCTCCGTCATGTTCCTCTTCGAGGGCGTCTTTGGCACCATCCTCTATACAGGTACAGGGCAGSTTCCCACAATCACAGAATCACAGCATGGCTCAGGTTGGAAGGGACTGCAGTGTGTCACCTGGTCCTGCCTCCCTGCTTTAGCAGAGCACATGGCACAGAGTTGTGACCAGATGGTTCTGARATATTCTCAGTGGGGGATACTCCACACCTGCTCTGGGTAAATCCTGGCTGCTGTCCCTACCCTACCCTGCTATCCCTGTCCTTACAGGAGATTTCCGCTACACCAGCGCYATGCAGGGTGAGCCGGTGCTGCGGGGCCGCCACATCGACCGCCTGTACCTGGACAACACCCACTGCCACCCTCAGCGGGCCCTGCCCCCGCGGGCACTGGCCACACGCCAGGCTGCCCATCTCATCCGTGCCCACCCACAGCACCACGTGGTCATCGGTGAGTGCTGCCCTCCCTCCCACCAGCACAGCCCTGGCAGGGCTCCTGTCCCCCTGCCCTGTCCCTGAGGCACYGCTCCCCTGGCAGGTGTGTACACCCTGGGCAAGGAGACGCTGCTGGTGGACCTGGCGCTGGAGTTCAGCACGTGGGTGGTGGTGAGCCCCTGGCGCCTGGAGCAGATGCGGCTGCTGGAGCTGCCCAATGTGTTCACGGCCGAGGAGGGCGCCGGCTGGATCCGCGCCGTGGATGTCACCGAGATCCGCCGGGACACGCTGGTCAGCTGGAACAACCTGCACCCCACCATTGCCATCATCCCCACGGGCAGGCCCATGAAGGTCGCCCATCCCAACATCCACCTCGTCCCGTACTCAGACCACTCGTCCTTTGCGGAGCTGTGCGAGTTTGTGAAGTGGCTGAAACCTTGCTCCATCATTCCCATTGTGAAGAGTGACATGTGCCAAGTTTACTTTCAGGAATACCTGAGCTCTGCCCCCCAGGTACTTCCTGATTTCAAAGTCCCAAAGCCCGTGCAAGAGTCTGGACAGCAGCAAAGCCAAAAGAGGAGGCAGAAACCCACGTGCCTCTGGAAAAGGACCACGTGGCGTTCTGCATCCCGAGGGGTCGTTTATGAGTCCCCAGAGAAAAATACTGAGAAACCTGAAGCATTTACAGGTGTTAAGGTTCCTCAGCAGTACTCTGAGGCAACTCAGTGTTCAGAGGAAAGCTGGACTTGTCACAGGGATGAGAAGGAGGAGCTGAGTGAGGAACAGCCAGGAGCAGCACCTGTTTCCAGTGAGCACTTTCCAGCTGTATTTGCAGAGCAGTATTTACTCACTCCCTTGAATGTCTTAAAGCAGAATTCCTCACAGACATTTGATGAGGTGGTGGAAGACTTTTTTAGGAAGGGAGACACTCCCTGAAAAATCATGGGACATTGCAGGTGCCAATGCAGCTGGTAGCAGTGGTTCATCCTGCTCTTCATTCTCAGGTTTCTCATTCAGAGAGAGGAGCCCAGCTCTGGAGCTCTACTTTCCTTACCTCTATAGAGGACAAAAGAAACTAGAAGCAGTTTGTAGATGGTACACTTTTAAAATTTATTTTTTTATGTCTCTGCATTGCTGGATCTTCACACTGTGCTGGCCACTGTGGTCCCACTGCCTTGTGTGCTTTGTGCCCACCTTTTGCAGTGACTCGCCTGTCCCCTGTGACAAAAGTCACAGAGGTTGATTCAAGCAGAGCTGCAGAGGGTGTGAGCAGTCTGCAGAGGAGAAATTAATGGCTGCAATGTGATGAAAGAAGCAAGGAAGGGGAATCTGAGAGCCCTAAAGATTCTCCTTTCCATGTGTCTGTGATACCTCACCACTATGATCAGTTCATCCCAAAGTGACTTACAAATGTTATTTATTAAGGTGCTTTTTTTTAAATGCTGCTGAAATCTAGAAAGTGAAGTGCCTTAAAGTTCAGCCATCTGTTTTCTATCTATTAATCTGCTCATACAGCCTTTGCATTCATCAGCCAACTGATGAAGTTGGCTGATGAATAAGCTCTCCTGATTTCTACTTTCCTGAAAGTGCCATCTCAATGTTAATTGTCAGTGTTTTTTTCAAGTTTCTGGCTGGGGAGAATAGGAACTGTCTGGGTTAYTGAGTTGTGGGCTTTCCTGAGTGGGTCACTATATTCTCTGCAGTCACTGCACTCACTCTTACACGTCTGAAATCTGCTCAACTGCAAAGCACTCCTGATAACTGCCAGTGTTCTGCCTTTCCATTCTGCCTGCTCTTGTCCTGCAGTGGCAAATGGGATGGTAGATAATGAAACATCTGCTGAGTGGTATGATCAGTCTTACCAGCTTTGTTTGGAAAGGTTGTGACTGAACAGCAGAACTGGCTCTGTTTGAGGCTGGGCACTTTCCCACTCCGGATCAGCTGCAGAGCCCTGGCCTGGCCCAGCTGGAAGTGTCTGTAGTGTGACAAACATTGGGTACCCACTGCAGCTGACTGTGCCATACTGCACTGCCAATGTTTGAAATTGGTCCTTTCTACGGTCAGGGCAGCTGGAGTGGGAAATGATCATGGTATCTGACCATGGTTGCTGTCCTGGAGCAACGAACCAGTTTGTTCCTCAGCTCTCTTGATCCTCCTTTTGTTACTTTCTAGGCAAAATGTTCAGAATTTTCTGAACATAGTGTCCTGCAAGGCCTATCCAACAGGCAGCTAAATGGGCTGAATTCCCTGAACTGAGCCAGAAAAAGAAGTGTTTGCTCTTGGAGCAGTGCCAAGCCTTGTGAAAAGCAAAGGTGCCCCTGGGTGCCGCAGTTGCCCCAGTCACAAACAGAGCTGTCTGGAACAGTGAGTGTGTCGACAGCCAGAGTGGGCATGTTTGGAAAGCTGTTTGGCAAACGTGAATCCTGACTCCCAACCCTGTGCTTTCCCAGGCACGGCAATATTTATCCCTGTTACATAAGGAATGCCTGTCCCTGGGACTGCTGTGGCTCTGCCTGCCAGCTGCCAAGGGGACATCAGAAGTGACAGAGCAGTGTCCTGTGAACTGCGCTTCACACAGGGCAGCAAGGGCAGTTGGAGCTTCCTGCTGTGGGCTCTGTGTCCTGCTGCTTGGAGGTTTCTGTATGGATTATTTCCTAATCCAAACTCAACAGCAGAGCTCTGTCAGGAGGGTGTGAGTGGAGACACCTGCACGTTTTGTAACATGGAAATGATAGTGCTGTGCCTGTAGTGTGCTGTCTGCTGCTGCTGCCTGGGAGATGCAGGCTGTTATTTAAATATTGTTGAAATTCAAGTGACTCATTTGACAGGCAGGGGTGTGAAGCTCTGCCTCAACTCCCAAATTCTATGTCCTGCTTTGAGCAGTCTTTCCACTGCTGGGGAGCAATGCTCACCTTCTGAGTCACTGCTTCACTTGGGCATGTTGCAAATTACCTGGGAGATGCTGATGTTCTGTGGCATCCAACCTTTCCTCTTCTATTCTTATCAACTATTTATTAAAATAAATGAAGTTGAGAACCTCCTGGTCAGCCTCTGAGCAAAAAGGAGTTCTAAATGGTAATTTTTTCCAGAGGTAAATCTGAGCTTTGATCACACAAAAATAAGTGAAAATTGCAGACTTCAGAGTCTGGGGATCTGCATCCCATTTCTGCATGCTCAAAGCTGCAGAATAAATGCTGGCTTGACTTTCTAGAGCCAAAATGGTAATTCCTGCCATTTCAGGAGGAAGTTATCAACCATGCAGAGCCAAATTTAAAATCTCTCTGTGGCTTTAAAAGGCAATAGGAGCAGCAGAGGCTTGACCAATTGCCAGTGTCTTGGAGATCTTTGCCTCAGCACAGCAGGTGCACGAGGTGTTTTAGTGCCAAACTTTTTATCCCTGTTAGGTGTTATTAAAATACTACTTTTGTGTGCTATCCTAAAATKCTGGAAAACAAAACATGGCCTTGTGGGGAAAACTGGAGTGCTGAGGCTTCTGAGCATCCTTCAGCTTCCCCTGAAGATGGGTTTAGTGGTTGGACTCTGTTCTTAAATGAATTTTCCAACCTAAATGAAATCTCCTGTCAGTAAGTATCTGGCCTCTTACAGGCCTTGTTTTCCCTCACACTTGTCTCCATGCTTTCCCTCTTTTCCTGCCCCCAGCCTGGCTCACAGTGGGGTGTTGAGAGCTGGGGTGTTACAGACAGCAGGGGCTGAGCCTGCTGCTCCCAGCTCACCTGCAGCACTGCTGCCACTGGTGTGTTTTGCTCACAACAGTGACAACGAGAAGCTGCAGCCCAGTATTTGCTTCCCTGTGGGGTATCTGAGGCCCACATGTGTGGAAACTTCAGTTATCCTGACAGGGAACAGAGAGTGCTCCGAGCAAAGTCCTCCCGAATCTATACACACAGAGCATGCTCCAACTGCTTATCTCTGACCCACAGTTGGGAACTGGCCCCAGTGTGGGGAAACAGCTCAGCCAAGGCCTTGCAGAGGAGCAAGGAACAAGCTGAGTTCCCTTTGGCAAGATTTCAGTGCTGTTTTACCAAGCTGTGATCAAATGCTGCTGTGTTGTGAGGGCAGGTTCTGGAGCAGAGCTGGCTGTGGAGGGTCAATCACTGACTGTGCTATGAACAGCTCAGCTGGCTCCAGCTTCTCTAAAACAGGAGGAAAGCATGAAGGAGTGCCCTGTTTATGCTGTGGAGAGGGGAAAATTGCTCTGTAGGCTGTTGTTAGGAGGCTGAGGCAAAACTTGCCTGGCTCCCGTGCTCCACAGAAACAAGTGTGTAATGTCACCTTACAGGGAACACCCCAGAGTGCTGCTGGGTCGGGTTTCAAACTCTGCTTCCCCAATTACAAGGCCGAAACACTTCTAGCAACTTCTCTCTTCCCTGCTGCAGAGCTGCTGTCTGTTCCTCCAGCACAGGAGCTCCTTTTCTAGATGAAATAAACTGCAGTGGGGAGATCTTTCCTTCACCAGAAAATGAAAGAGTTTACATATAGTTTACATAGTTAATTTCCACAGTGTGTTGTCACTTTGGGCTTATTTCAAATGAACCTCAAGCCTGAAATCTCTCTTTGTGCCTTTTTTATGGAGTCCTGTGAAAAGGTAGTAGAACACGTTGAAAAGGTAGAGTCATTTGATAATCATGGGAAATACTGCCTTCAAGTGAGCTGCTGTGGGTGTTCTGTGTCTATCTGATTCCTTCTGATGAATTTGGGATCTTTAGCCACAGACACTGCYGAGCTGAAGCTTTTCTGGCTGTGGCTTTGCACTTGGCCAAACCCTGGCCTGAGGTACAAACAGTCGTGGGTTGTGCAATAAAACCTTTGGGACAGACCTTGACCAGGAGCCTCTTGGCTCTGGCTCAGAGTCTGGGACTTCCTGAGCAGGTGCTGGGGAGATGAGAATTATGTTCCACAGTGTCCTGGAGGTCACTGAGCCTGAAGAAAATCAGGCCAAGAGAAATGAGTCCTCCATGCAGGACTGAGACTTTCCAGTCTCAGAGGGTACAGAGCTCCTGAACAGTGTTTTGCTGGAGGGAGGTCACACTTGTAGTGCTGCTCTTCATGTAAACAGGAAGCTGAGAGGTTGGAARGGACCTTAAAGATCATCCAATCTCAGCCCCTGTCATGGGCAAGGATACCTTCCACTATCCCAAGTTGCTCCAAGCTCTGCCCAACCTGATCTTAAACACTTCCAGGGATGGAGCAGCCACAGCTTCTCTGTGAATCTGTGCTAAGGCCTTACGATCCTCTGAATAAAGAATTTGTTCCCATGATCTAATCTAAATCTACTGTGTCTGAATTTTGGTCAAAGTAATTGTTATTTTAAAATGTTGTAAACTTTTGCAAGAAAGACAATAAACGTCTCTAACACTAGAAAGGACTGAATTAAAACACTGGAGTTCTTGAGTAGGTTATGGTGACCTGACAGAGCTAAATCCCTTCTTGGAAACATTTGAGTCCCACCTCCATGCTCCAGCAGGGCCATCCTAGAGCACATGGCTCAGGCATCCAGACGGTGCTGGAATATCTCCAGTGAAGGAGACTCCACACCCTCTCTGGGCAATCTGTTCCCGCACAATAAAGTTCTCCCTCGTGTTCAGTGGAACTTCCTGGGCCTCAGTTTCTGTCCATTCCTCTTGTCCCAAGGCTGGGCCCTACAGAGCAGAACCTGGTCCGTGCTCCGACACCTCGAAGGGGCCCGGCTGAGCTTCCCGTGCCCGGCCCGGGCCCGCTCGGTCCCTGGCGTTGTCCCGTTGGGCTCTCCCTGCCCGGCCCTGCCCCCTCGGTCCCGGCCCTGTCCCGTTGGGCTCCCCCAGCCCTGCCCCGCTCGGTCCCGGCCCTGTCCCGTTGGGTTCCCCCGGCCCTGCCCCGCTCGGTCCCGGGCACTGTCCCGTTGGGATCTCCCGGCCCAGCCCCGCTCGGTCCCGGGCACGGTCCCGTTGGCTTCCCCCAGCCCTGCCCCGCTCGGTCCCGGGCACGGTCCCGTTGGCTTCCCCCAGCCCTGCCCCGCTCGGTCCCGGGTGCGGTCCCGTTGGCTTCCCCCAGCCCTGCCCCGCTCGGTCCCGGGTGCGGTCCCGTTGGGTTCCCCCAGCCCTGCCCCGCTCGGTCCCGGCACTGTCCCGTTGGGTTCCCCCAGCCCTGCCCCGCTCGGTCCCGGGTGCGGTCCCGTTGGGCTCTCCCTGCCCGGCCCTGCCCCGCTCGGTCCCGGCCCTGTCCCGTTGGGTTCCCCCAGCCCTGCCCCGCTCGGTCCCGGGCACTGTCCCGTTGGGCTCCCCTGGCCCTGCCCCCGCTCGGTCCCGGACACTGTCCCGTTGGGTTCCCCCAGCCCTGCCCCGCTCGGTCCCGGGCGCTGTCCCGTTGGGCTCCCCCGGCCCTGCCCCCTCGGTCCCGGGCACTGTCCCGTTGGGCTCCCCCGGCCCTGC